CAAGGTCGAGGTTTGAATATTGCCATAAGGACCGAACGTTCGAGGTTAGTAAGTTGTTCATTATATGACTTTTTGCTTTGTGTTTACATGCCCGTAATCGGCCTGTTGGTATTTCGGGAGACGAATGCCCTACAATACCAAGACGGAAAATGTAGCTGACGGAGAATCCATCTAGACGGATTATCCGTCTCTAGTGTGAAAACGGCCAATTTGTCAATTAGAGCGCGCGTTATATCGGCTACAAGAACAAGCCATATAATAAGAAGCCATAGAGTAGGAGTGACTCTTGACATCAAACGAATCATGTTTGCACTCGTTGAAAGAACATTGACTGCTGATTTTAAAGATTATCATCAGCTAACTCGTTACTTTCATCTATAAATATGGCAGTTTATTTGTTATGAGGTTCAAAACGCCTTTTCAAATTCTCCGGTTTGAATAGGGTTTTCAAAAAGCTCCGTTTTCGTGACGGCCTAACCGTAGAAATAAAGCTGCGTTTTCAGATTCCTCCGTCGTAGTATGGAGGGGCCTAGCTATAGGAGATCGCGTCAGTTTACGGCTTGAATACAAGCAGCTACCTCTTCAGTTCCACCAGCAGCTAGTCAACAATGAATACAGTTAAAAGAAACTTATCGAGAGCTCTCAAGATGATCCATCGAGAGAAAATTGAATTTGAAGTTATCCATATTTTCATTAAATCTCCGGACGTTTCACGTCAGTTCAAAACACAAACACGGCACACGCTTGAAGCATTTGACGAAGTTTAGCTGACATTAACTTTTCCCAGATTGCTTGAGAATTTAACCCCGTGTAACTAAAATTAATGAATTCAAGTGAGATGTTTCAAATAGTCAGTCAAAAAGTTACCGTGTTTTGAGTAGATTTTTAGTAAATAATTTCTGCACTAATTGCTTGAACTCAGAACTCGGCGGCATGCTGGAACTTTAACATATTAAAATTGATCTGTCAGGTGAAAAACTTACTTCTAGACTCTAGCCAATCAAACTCTTGTGTCTCAAGTATTACGTTTTCTTCTTGCCATGACAACGTAACTGAATAGGCGGCTCTGCGAGCGAGCATGACTTCGCACTAAAAATGGCCGTCCACCGAAAGATTCGTGCTCTCTTGGGTGTTTTCTCTATCACTGTGTCATATCTTCTCCTCTTCTACCACGGCATTTTAAAAGGTAGGACTCTACGCGAAATTGTCGCAATGTAGTCTTCGAACGAAAAACGTAAACGAGAAGTACAGTTACTGTGAAATCTCTCTATTCGACTAGATATCGTATTTAATTGCCGGGTTGTTCGTTTCAAGAGTTTTCAGATAAGAAAAATGACTGACTTAGCTTCTTGTTGGCCAAAATAAAATAGTTGGGTAGAAATTCCGACCTAGAGAACCCTAAATATATATCTATATATTATTTTTTTCTTTTAAAACCCATTGAGAACAACTAGGACTCTAACTCACGTTCGTCGCTTGTTGATGGGCGGTATTTCAGCGTTCGTTCAACACGTATTTTGCGAAAAAAAAACTGGAGATTATTGTCGGAGGTCCAGAGTTTTATTTTAAGGTGGCGTGGAAACTGGAATGAAAAGATTTGACACTCAAAGCAGTTCGGGGTTAAACTGAAGCTTTTGCTTGACACGAGCGTACCACCGTCAGGTAATTAAGGTCCGGTTTAAGCGTCGCATTTTACATGCGCCGAATCGAATTGCCGAATTAAGTGCATGTACAATTTGACGTTTAAATAACTTAAATGCGACATATTTCAATTAAATGCGAGTTCAGTCGAATATTTGACTGATCCAGTCGAATATGCGACTGAAGTTCGCCAGTTGATTTAAACGCCGCATTTTACATGTGCCGAATCTAATTCATAAATTATGTTAAATAAATTGTGTTAAATAAATTTTGTTTGCTCGAATGGGAATTAAAGCCCCGGCCAAACGATCGTAACATTGTTGGGCGCAACATGTTTCGTGCGTTTGGCCACCGTCTTGCGGTGTGTTGCGACATGTTGGGTGTTGTTGGCTCAAATTTGACCATTTTCAAATTTGAGCCAATAACACCCAACATGTCGCAACACATCGCAACAGGGTGGCCAAACGCACGCAACATGTTGCGCCCAACAATGTTGCGATATGTTGTGCTGAAATGTTGCGA